GTGACAAGTTAGGTTTATGTAACTTTACAGGAGAATGACATGTGACAAGTCAATTCTAAGTAACTTTAAAGAAGAATGACAGGTGACAAGTTAGGTTTATGTAACTTTACAGGAGAATGACATGTGACAAGTCAATTCTAAGTAACTTTAAAGAAGAATGACAGGTGACAAGTTAGGTTTATGTAACTTTACAGGAGAATGACATGTGGCAAGTCAAGTTTAAGTAACTTTACTGTAAACTGACATGAGACAAGTCAAGTTTAAGTAACTTTACAGAAGAATGACAGGTGACAAGTTAGGTTTATGTAACTTTACAGGAGAATGACATGTGGCAAGTCAAGTTTAAGTAACTTTACTGTAAAGTGACATGAGACAAGTCAAGTTTATGTAACTTTACAGTTGAGTTACATGTGACAAGTTAAGTTTAAGTAACTTTACACGAGAATGACGAGTGGCAAGTTAAGTTTATGTAACTTTACAGGAGAGTGACATGTGACAAGTCGCGTTTATGTAACTTTACAGTACAGTTACATGTGACAAGTTAGGTTTGTGTAACTTTACAGGAGAATGACAAGTGACAAGTGAAGTTTATGTAACTTTACAGGAGAGTGACACGTGACTAGTTAAGTTTATGTAACTTTACAGGAGAGTGACACGTGACAAGTTTATGTAGTTTTACAGTAGAGTTACATGTGGCAAGTTAAGTTTATGTAACTTTTCAAGAGAGTGGCATGTGACAAGTAAAGTTTATGTAATTTTACAGTAGAGTTACATATGGCAAGTTAAGTTTAAGTAACTTTACAGAAGAATGACATGTGGCAAGTTAAGTTTAAGTAACTTTACGGGAGAGTGACATGTGACCAGTCACGTTTATGTAACTTTACAGTACAGTTACATGTGACAAGTTAGGTTTATGTAACTTTACAGGAGAATAACAAGTGACAAGTCAAGTTTAGGTGACTTTACAGGAAAATGACATGTTGCATCTTAAGTTTATGTAACTTTACAGGAGAGTTACATGTGACACGTCAAGTTTAAGTAACTTTACAGGAGAATGCCATGTGACAAGTTAGGTTTATGTAACTTTACAGGAGAATAACAAGTGACAAGTCAAGTTTATGTGACTTTACAGGAAAATGACATGTTGCATCTTAAGTTTATGTAACTTTACAGGAGAGTTACATGTGACACGTCAAGTTTAAGTAACTTTACAGGAGAATGCCATGTGACAAGTTAGGTTTATGTAACTTTACAGGAGAAAGACATGTGACAAGTCAAGTTTATGTAACTTTACAGCAGAGTTACATGTGACAAGTTAGGTTTATGTAACTTTACAGGAGAATGACATGTGGCAAGTTAAGTTTATCTAACCTTATAGGAGAGTGACTAGTGACAAGTCAAGTTTAAGTAACTTTACAGGAGAATGACATGTGACAAGTTAGGTTTATATAACTTTATAGGAGAATGACATGTGACAAGTCAAGTTTAAGTAACTTTACAG